CAGTACGTAGTAGAAGCCCTTGCGTGATTGAGTTCGATTGCCCGATCTTGATGAGTATCAAGGCCGAATACTTAGAGAAGGCTAATATGCAAAAGTTTGCAAAGAGCCAAGAGTTTCAAATTTGAGAGTTCAGATTGAGTCTACTTCAACAATCTAAGCTTTTGCTTAAGAATGTCCAACCAAGCTCTCAAGATGCCCATCCACTCAAGCCCATAAGACCAGCAGCAAAAAGGCCTCTGATTGAAGAGTCTTAGAAATGCCAAGCTTCCAAAACCTCCCCAAAAAGCCTTCCCCCTTTCATGTTGTCTAAGGTAGCCTATAAATAGGCAAGGAAAGGTATGGTCAATCCCTTTAACTGGTGGGATGTGACCACTTAAGGGTGAGGAGCACCATACCCTCTCTTATAGCTGTGAGATGTGATGACTATAGGTGATGAGAGTCATGCTTCATCACTCAGGATGTGGGACATGGGTAGGCCCACACCTACAGGCAAGCAACTCGCACTGCTTAGGTGAGGCTGGCAAGCTTACAGGCGAGTTTAACAGTGTTTGAATGCTCAGGCGAGCTTAGCGAACAGGCGGGGTCAGCTGGCGGACCCCGCAAGCGTTAGGTGAGTTTGAGTCTATAGGAGAGCTTGGTTCGTGCTAGTGAACTCCCTGCAGGCAAGCTTGACTCATGCAAGCGAGCGTAGCTTTAAGGAGAGCTCGACTCGTATGAGTGAGTCGAGAAATTAGGCTGTAGGTGGTAAAAATTACCTTTGTAAATAAGTCTGAAATTCGTCTGCGTATTCGAGTCACCCGTACGACTTGAAAATTAGGCCCACCCGTGTACTTGACTCACCAGCACGAGCCAAGACCACACGATCACTAAATTCGCCTACATTTGGGCAATCCGCCAGGCGATCAGAAACTCGCTAGCAAACTGGACCCGCCCACGCGAGTTAAGTTTACTCGAGAGCTAAACTTGCCTGCATGCCCAGACGATCAGCCAGGCAATCAACATCCTAACCACAGACTCGCCAGAGTACCTGGCGGCTGCTACATCACGTATAGGAATGAGCCTTCCCATTTCCCATGACGTGAAGGGAAGGAGCACAGTACTCCAAACCCATCAAGTAGCCGCTCCCAGTACAAGATGACCAGTCAAATCCATGCAATCGTCAAACTCGCCTGTATGCATGACTCGCCCGCACGAGTCAAGATCATCCAAGTGATTGAAATTCGCCAAACTCGCCTGCACGAGTCAAGAGCTGAATTCGCCCGCGATAGACAAATCACCGAACTCACCAGAGTACCTGGCGGTCGCTATATCACGTATAGGGATGGGCCTTCTCATCTCCCACGACATGAAAGGGTGGAGCACAGTACTCCGAGCCCATCAATCAGCCGCTCATGGTATAAGTGAGAAGCATGGTATCTCCCAACAGTACATAATCACATCCCATGATTCAAGGGAGCGACCACATCGTCTTTCCTCTATTTAAGAGCCTCTCCTAGATACAGGAAAGAGGTTCGCAGTTAATTAATTAATTCAATCAGTTAGCCGGACCATTAGCTCTCAACTCTCGTCTGAGTTGATGACATGCTCTTTACATGATCTTTGCACTGTATCATCTTCTCCTAACTTCGGGCCCTGACCGCCACCGAACTCGGAAACACGAACTTGACCAGCACGAGCTTCTACTATGCACTGAAGCTCACTAGTAACCTAGATCGAATCATCCAAGGGAAGCAGACTCGGTGCGAGAACCGAGCAAGGCATCCTATCGCTACCAAAGTCCCCACGTTAAACAATGAGGGCCTACCTTCCGCTTTTTTTATAATTTCGATTCATTAGTTTATAATAAGCTATTCTTATCAATACAAATGAAACCCTTATTTTGGAAAATCAAAATTTACACCATACAGAAGATGACGACCACAATGGGAGAAGCTATTTCCTCAACCGAAATGGTGATAGCGCAGTTCGACAAGGTTGTTGTCGGGACGACCGTGGAGTCCCTAGAAATCGAGTTCCACCAAGCCAAGTATGAAAAGTACTTATCTTCATCCTCCTCTGGTGGTAATGCGTCCCGCAAATGCCACAGAGTCGTGCGTAGAGGCCGACCTCAAACAGTCAAAGCCTCCACGCCTGAGGAACCTATCCGAGTTACGTCGGGGGAGCCTATTCCCTCCAAATTGATCAAGGCTAAGCCAGAGGTCAAGAACACAGGGTAAAGGGCTGCCAGATGGGTCGCCAAACGACCCTCGCAAACCCCCTCTCAGGAAGAGATGGTGGTTCATCTTGGCACAGACTACACCGTCATGATCCGCACGGACGCACCTCTCTCTAGAAGAGCCCGTCAGCGGCGACGATAGGTCCTCGCCCAACAGGAGGCCCGAACCTTCGCCTCATACGACGGCCTGAATTATTATTCGGGTCTAAAAAGTGCAATGCAGAGAAACAACCCTCCCAATGCTGGTAGGCTCGCCAAATCAGGTGAACCTTCACGTTCAGGCGGACTTCGCTCTGATAGTAATATCTCCTATTTTGGCGAGTCCGGTATTTCTGACAAACTCGGCCGATCGGGCAAACTAGTCAAAACGGTCGAGCCTGCCCCCTCAAGCGGGCTCCGTTTCTTAGGTCATATCCCTGATATAAACAGGCTGCCCAGAGAAGGCGAGCCTACCCGAGCAGGTGAACCATCAAAGTCAGGCGGGCCTCACCGAATCCACTTGACGGGTAAGCATTGCGAGCGAATGAGCCTTAACGATAAAGGCAAAATAGTAGGCAATACCTCACCAACTTGCCTGTATGAACAAAGGGTCGAAGTTCGCCTACAAATAGGAACTCGCCCAAGCGCGAAGACTCTCTTGTCAAGGCAAACCCGCCTAACTCCAACACTTAACCCTTCCATCCAGTGTACGCAAGAGGGTTCATCCAAACCTCTCTCATGCGATCACGTAGTTGTCCCTTCTGATGCTGGGGGTTGTCGCCAGCTACCTACGGAAGATCTCCAGGATTACCTAACTCGCAAACACACCATACACGAGGCGAATCCTCAGTGTCACTGCAAAAGGCTTATCCAAACATTACTTATCAATTGCCAGTGTATAGGAACGACGAAACCTTCGGTGTTCGAAACGCTTGCTCAGCAACCTTCCCAACCGAGATCTTCTCGTCAAAGGCGTGGCCACCAAAGATGGCACGCCCTTGATGATTTAGAGCTCTCGTCTGCTACTGTTAACATGACGAGGAAGGGTAAAAATGCACTTCCAGAGTCTCTAGATTTGGATTCCTTCCTGGGGCCCAGTCACCCGCTGGTTCAGCGCGAACATGATGGTATATTCCTACACACCCGCAGTCGTATGGGGGTAAACATCTTGTTCGATTATGCCCTCCTAACGCCCCCTTTCGGTGGTGAAGAGGAAGCCTGCTCAGCGGCGGCCACATCCTAGACATCACACTCGAGACGCCCCCTTTCGGTGGTGAAGAGGAAGCCTGCTCAGCGGCGGCCACATCCTAGACATCACACTCGAGTTACGGCGAGTCAGCAAGGGTGCACATGGCTGAAACCTCGAGTGATCAGACAATCACTCAAAAGTTTGAAGAGCATCAGGTCGCCATCGAGTCCATAAAAGACATGTTGGAGCAACTGCTGAACAGAAAGAAGAAAAAGAAGGTCACGCGTACCCCACGGAGGCCGGCGGGAGGCAAGGAATGGGGACCTACTCCTAATCAGACGACTGAACAGGAAGATAAGCATTTCTTATCTTTTCAACTCTTTTATTTTTCAAAATTGGCAAGTATCTTCTTATTATTTCCCTCTTTCATTATAGTTTATAGAAAACTCTTTTATTTTTCAAAATTGGCAAGTATCTTCTTATTATTTCCCTCTTTCATTATAGTTTATAGAAATATCTCGAGTATATTGTATAGATGTCAAATTCAAATGAGGTCCAAGGCTTAGATAAATACTTGTTTGCTAAATTTGATCCTCTCCTATTTTCAGCTAGAGAAATTTTGTAGCCTGTAATGGAGACTTGCGTCATATTCCGACTCCACCAGGAAATCCTTAAGAAAGTTTTTGTTCAAGTACAAAGTGACCAGGTTGCATCTTCCATTTTTAGTCCTCAGTCTAATATATGTTCTGAAGAAATCCTAAGTGGTTTTGTAGATAGCATTTATCCATAGAACATTTTAGAATAAACTGACGTGTAAGGGGCCATTGTTCCAAAGATTATGAATCACAAAACAAGGTTCATCTACTACTAAGTAGTAACTGGAAAACAATCCCCTAGTTAGACCGTACCATTATATTTTTTTTTTATCTAATATGTAAGAACTGACTAATTAGTAGGATTTGAGCACATTGTATGAAGTAACATGTTTTTTTTTATCTAATATGTAAGAACTGACTAATTAGTAGGATTTGAGCACATTGTATGAAGTAACATGTTTCTTTATGTTGTATGATCAAGAAATCGACAGATACCTGGTTGAGTGTTGACCTTTACTTGAGGTTTCCATGTTATTCGTAAATATCAGGCACAAGTAAGAGGTCATATAAAACACAATTAATAGCTTAGCGGCAATTGTGTACAAAAATAGCGTAAATAATTATCGTAAATGTTGTCACAGGTGGAGTACATCAATGGTAGCAATATATATTATAGTTAATATAATATACGCATGTAGGCACTACACAAAGTTTGTAATAACGTTACATGTTAAAGGATATATATAGATATAACAAGTAGCATACATAGGTCACTATATAGTACGTATAGTACATAGTGTATTATATTATATGCAGTCGGGTTGTCATTGATTTAGATACATAGGAGTTCAGTTTACATAGCTAGCACTATGTTATCTCACAGTAACATAAAGTCTACGTATGACTTGTCAAAATTGTGTACAGAAAGTCAAGGACAAGGCATATAATATCCAATAACTAGAAGTTTATGTCCCAAAATATCAGCAAAAAGATAGTCAAACAAGAATAGTCTAGATGTAATATAATGAATTAGCAATATGCATCTAATCTAGTGTCATCATCAAACATCATCATCATGAAGTTCCTCCTCTACTCCATCATCGCTATCCTCTCCAGAATCCATCTCCACACAATCCTCCTCTTCGTCTGAAACATCATCATCCGAGACAAGAGGCTCTTCTTCATCATCTATCACTGAAGTAGAAGCACTTGAAGGTCCTGCTAGCCTAGAACTCCTCCTATTCTCCGCAGCCTCAGCCGCTCCCGATATACCCTCTACCATCCTCCAAGTAAGACCTGAGCCAGGATGAACTTCTTCCTCATCATCGGAGCCTGCTCCTTCTAGGATCCATGCTCGTGCCTTACTACGATCAGTAGATAGTAGTAGGTTCTTGTTTTCTCCTCTCCTCTTCTTCTGGTTGAGCTTTGAGTTAAACTTCACATAGACCAGTTCCTCTAACCTCTTCGATTCCAATCTATTCCTCTTCTTCGTATGAATCTTCAAAAGTAAAGGACACAAATTAGAAAACACAACTAAGAAGAATTTCATATTTTTCATAAGTTTAGAAATTAGTTTACCCCCTCAAATGTGCTCCAATTCCTTTCACAACCAGAAGAGCTGCTTGTCAAGTTGAGAAGTTTCATAGCCATATTTTGCATGAAGGGACAATCACCACCATGCAAATACCACCAATTAGCTACAAAAAATAATATATTATTAGTTGATTCACTACCACAATGGCACAATAGATAACTTATAAGTCATATATGATTCAATTTCTAAAATTATTTTACCTGGGTTCAAGTCTGATTTCTCTCTAGCCTTCACCGCTCCAATCCTAGCAAATGAACCCTTTCCTTCTCTGTATCTCTCCAACTCTTGAGTATGAATTTCAACTTGTTGCTCTACATCAGGATAGAACAACTCCACCACATCTAGAAATCCATCTTTCGCCCTTTTGTAATTCTTCACTACATCATCCCTATAGAAATAGTAAGGGTTGAGGTAGTAAGAAGCCATATGCAAGGGAGAAAAGAGCCGATCCTTGGACTTCCCATCTATAATATCAATCACGGGCTTGAAATCCTTCTCCTTATTCTTAACTTGAATGATCTCCTTCTTCATATCTTCAAGCATCCCCACCACAAATCCCATTGAGGGTTTGTAGTCACTATCGACTACCCTCAATAATCGAAAAATAGGAGCATACACCTTCAAGATCTTGGCCACCGCTGTCCACCAACTATCACTCATAGCAATCGCCTCCACCTTAGCGCCTTTAGCAGTCTTTGCAAGCTTGCATCTCACCCATGCTTCATCGGAAAACATAAATCTCAACTTCTCTTTCTTCTCAAGAAGACTCCGCAGAGTCAAAAATGTAGTGGCGAAACGAGTAACTCCAGGTCTCACAATGTCCCTTTTGTCACAAATGCGACGCATCATAGACAATGTCTTGTGATGACTATAGATAAAGATGGTGAGGGTCCTCGCCTTCTCAATTGCTCCTTTACAGTGTGTGCTGCACAACTAGTCCAAAAAATCCTCGGCCTCCTCCTATATAAAAGCTCCTTCGCGGCCATATTTGCAGCTGCATTATCCGTGACAACCTGAATGACTTTATCAGCTCCAATCTGCTCAATGGCCGTATTAACCCACTCAAATATATATTGTCCTGTATGTGCTTCCTCTTTGGTTTCAATTGACTTATGAAAAGTTGTCCCCAATCTGCAGTGGATGCAAAGATTCATTACCGACCGCATCTTTCTGTCCGACCAAGCATCAGTCATAATGGAACATCCAGTCTTGCCCCACTCCTCCTCATGCGTCTTTAAGGAGACTTTTGTTCTCTCAACAGCTCTTCGCAATAAGGGCTCCCTCAACATGTACATGCTGGGAGGCCTGTAGCTCGGTCCATAGTCTCCAATAGCCATGCATGCCTTCGTAAAAGAATCCGTGGAGATGGCATGAAAGGGGATGGCATTTTCATATGCCCAAGTAGCCAACTGATCATGCACCCAATCTCTCTTCTCCTTCAGGAAAGAATCCTTCACTCCTGTCTGCTTCATTTTCCCTTTCAACCTTTTCGCTAGCTCTGGATCATTAGCGGTGTAAGCATCCATCGGCCCAACAGTAGGCTCTCTAGACCTCTTTGAAGATTCATCGCATGTGGAAGGAGAGATGATTTCATCTTCATCTCTTTCTTCATCACACGGCCTCGTCGTATGAAGTTCTTCTTCTAAGTCTATAGTGTGCCTCTCCTTAACTTGCTTCTTCTTCGAATTAGCATCAATGACTTCTTTCACCCTCTGCTTATCTTTTTCACTAATCTTCAAACATGGTTTGGTGTCCCCCCTCAACCCTGCAAGATGCTTCTTAAATCGATGGATTCCCGCATTCACCTTGTGCCCACATAGTTTGCATTGCACCATATTCAAATTTTTTGGGTCCGGACAAAATCCAAACTCCCAACCAATGTCTCCTGAGTTCCTTCTATCTTTCACGGGAGGTACGGGGATATTGGTGGAACCCGTAGACTCCTTCGTTGGAACACCCGACATTCTGAAATAAATGAACAAACAAATCATTCATATACATAAGATCAAATCATGATAAAGGGATAAACTAAAGTATTAATTATTAAATATACACTTAAACCAAATATTTTAAACATAATTCAACAAATTACACTTAAAACCGAATATTTCAAATGAGCTGGAATCGGCTACTACACCTACAAATTAAGAAGGAAAACTTTTAACAACATACTGAGTATAGAAATGCAGCAAATATGTATACACGCGTACAAATTAGTCATCAGCACTTCATCATATATAACATAATCAATACAAACAAATTAAACAATGGACGGAACATCATCCCAGTACCCTCCGTGAGGACCGTAAAACAAATGATCTAAAAACACCAAAACCATATTAATGTTAAACTTTAAACCAAAAAACTTTAAATAAAAGATCATCTCTGAAATAGTAAAATGATAAATAAAATAAGCAAATAACATATAATCCTTTACCTTGTTACAGGGATGAAGCAGACTCACAACCGCTTCGAGAATCCAGAGGCTTCGACGAGGAACAGATCGGAGGTTGAAGACGAGCTCGGAGGTTGAAGACGAAGCTCGGAGGTTGAAGACAAAGCTCCGACGAGTTCGAAGACGAGGTTGAAGCTCGGAGGTTGAAGACGAAGCTCCGAACTCCTGTCTGCGACGAGGTTGAAGACGAAGACGAGTTCGAGCTTGAAGATCGAAGACGAGGACCGAGGTTGAAGACGAAGACGAGTTCGATTCGAGCTTGAAGATCGAAGACGAGGACCGAGGTTGAAGACGAGTTCGAGCTTCGACGAGGTTGACGACGATTTTTGGAAATTTCTTGCGGCATCGGGTGAGTGAGAAATGGGAATTAGGGTTTTGGGTTTGGGATTTTGGTTATTGGGTTTGGGTTTTTGGGTTTGGGTATTGGGTATGGGCGTTTTTCTTTTTTTTTAAGTGGGGCGGGCCGCTTAAGCGGCCCGCTTAGCTTTGGGCGGCCGCCTAGGCGCTCGCAGCGCCCAAAGGTGTCGCTCAAGGCTGAATTCCATGTTAGAGGCACCGCCTCCGCCTAGTCGGCCGCCTAGGCGGCCGCCCAGGCCGTTTTTTAAAACACTGTATATAGGTATAACAAGTAGCATACATAGGTCACTATATAGTAAGTATAGTACATAGTGTATTATATTATATGCAGGCGGATTGTCATTGATTTAGGGTGTGTTTGGTAGGCTGCAACTAAGGGCTTTGCAACTAGAGTTGCATGCAACTGGGCCATTTTAGACAAATTGCAACTGTTTGGTTCACTGCAACTAACCCATTGCAGTTGCAACTAGAGTTGCAAAATGGGCCTCACTTACAGCATTTTAGTTGCAGCAAAATCGGCTGCAGTTCACACTTGCAAAACAAAAGCCTTTTAAGTTGCAACCGCAGTTGCAAACTTACCCATCCCCAACCTCAAACCTCCCGACTCTCTCAGTTCCCCTTTTCATTCTCTCTCTCACGAGCATCCACTTCTCAATCGAATCTCAACTATTTCACAGAGAATCATGTCAAAATCGTTCTCTATAGCAACTATTTCACAGAGAATCTCAACTATTCTCCCAGATCCCCAACCTAGGGTTTCCTGTGCTCGCGTTTTAGACCGGAGATCGAAGATTTCTGTTGGAGAAGACCTGGCCTCTACAAGATTCGTTCTCTATAGCTAGGGAATCATTATGGTTTGGCTGGATTTGAAGTAGATCTCTATAAATTTGAGGGGAAAACTTGGGTCTAAGCATCAATCCTCAAAATCAAGGGTCTGAGCATCTTCTCAAATTTTCAGGTATTGTTTCTTCATCAAGATTAGCTCTGCAATTTCTATACTTCTTTTTTGTTTTTTCTTGATTTCAATTTTTTCTTGCTTTCATCCTATTTCTCTGATTTATGGGTGAGTTGGGTATGAATATGCAAGAAATTGGGGATTTCTCTGATTTGTTGCCAAGTTTGGTTTGAAGATGTAAAAATTGGGGATTTGAGCTTTTTAATGGCAGATTCATATGTAGTTAGTTAGCTTTACTGTTTTGGGGGAGGCTGAGAACGATCATGCAATTGATTTTCTTGTTACCTCATCGCATATCTGAAGAACTATTTTTCCCTTAATTTTGATATGCAGCTAAGAAAAAGAAGAAGATTTTGGTTGTGATCATAGTGATAATTGTTTTAGCAGTGTTCATTTCACTTGGATGCATCTACCTTGTTTTCAAGAAGAGAGTTACAGGTAAAATCATTAGAATTATTGGGACAACTGTGCTCGAATTCTTTTGTGTTCATTGATGTCTCATGATTTCCTTGACATCATTCATTAAATTGCGAAAGGGCCAGAGGATCACGGTTACTGATCAAGGTTTTTCCAGTGGTGCATTTGAAGCTAGAGACGAGGAGAAAAATATAAAGAGCCAACACTGTCATCTGCTTAGTTTCGATTCAATTGTTGGTGCCACTGGAAAATTCTCTCATTCAAATTTACTTGGTGAAGGTGGATTTGGTCCAGTTTACAAGGTTAGTCTACCTCCTTTATCACTGTATTTTTCATGATGAATTTAAGCTTGGATATGAAGAAAAATGATGCATATTGTTAAACATGTGAATAAGTTCAATATCAGAGCCGGAGATGAAACAGGTTTTGGTGACATGTGTGAATGAGCTCCACCATGTTGGCTTTATATCATAGATTTTGTGATCCGTTGACATCACCACAGCTATTTTTCAAATGGACAAAATTCTCTGATTTGTTTTTTTAATGCCAAATTTTCTTCATATGAAGTTGTTAGTTTCTTCATATGAAGTAGTTATTAGTTTCTTCATCAATGTTAGAGTTGAGCTTTTTAATGCCAAATTTTTCTGCGTTTTTTTTTTTTTTTTGGTTTTTTTGAAGCCGTGGCCGCATGATCTGTTATTCATGTTATTATGTTTTTTTTTTTTTTTTGGTTTTTTTGAAGCCGTGGCCGCATGATCTGTTATTCATGTTATTATAGGAGGCTTTTTAATGCCAAAGTAGTTAGTTAGCTTGGATCATGTATTATTTTATCCTGAGCCAAAGCAAAGTTAAAGGAGCTTTAACTTTGATATGAATCTGCCAGTTTTTGATATGAATCTGCCATTTTTTGATGTCAAAGTAGTTTCAGCAGCATAATGTTGTTCCTTGTCAATGTAAATTTTAATCCATGCCATTTTTGGTATTTATTTATTTATTTTCTTCTTATAGATGGAAAGGAATTTAAATTTGGCACTTGATCCTGAAGATGATGAAATAGCCGCATATATTGTAGTATCATGTGCATTCTCTGTTATGTTATGGATGGGAGCTGAAGAGCAAATATTAGACGAAATGGTTCCTAGAGTAATTAGGGACTCTCATAGGGAAACTTATTTGCATAGAATACTTGATGATTCAGATGTAAACTGCGTAAACATGCTCAAATTGACAAAGCAACATTTTATAAATTTGTGTGACACATTGCGAACTAGGGGGTTACTTAAAGACACCATTCATGTAACTGTGGAGGAACAAGTTGCCATGTTTTTACATACTATAGGACACAATGTTCGTAATCGAGTGATCGGTCACAATTTTATAAGATCGGGTGAAACCGTTAGTAGATACTTCAAGGAAACTTTACATGCCATTGGAGAATTGCGTGGTGAATACATCAAGGGACCAAGTAGCACAACACATATGAGAATATCAACAAGCTCTAGATTTTGGCCCTATTTTAAGGTACACTTAGTTTTTTACAATTTAATTTATTACTCAAGCATGAATTGTGATACTAAAAAATACAAGTGTTCCTAGGATTGTGTAGGTGCATTAGATGGAACACATGTGCAAGCTCGGGTACCCTCAAATATGGTAGGAGCCTTTCGCGGTAGGAAACCATATCCTACTCAGAACGTTCTTGGTGCCATTGATTTTGATTTGAAGTTTACTTATGTACTTGCCGGTTGGGAAGGCTCTGCTCATGATGCACTAGTATTAAAAGATGCTATTGAAAGACCAAATGGCTTGAAGATACCTCAAGGTGAAATAAAAATGTGCAAACTTGGTTTCTAATTTAATAACAGACTTGACTAAATTTAATATTCAATTTTAGGAAAATATTATCTTGTAGACGCTGGTTACTCAACAAAGGCGGGATTTATCGCACCATATCGCGGAGTTCGATACCATCTTCGTGAGTATAGTGAACGTTCACCCACAGACTACAAGGAACTATTCAATCTAAGACATTCATCATTGCGTACTTCTATAGAGAGAGCTTTTGGTTCCTTAAAAGGACGTTTTAAAATTCTAGCATCAAGACCTTTTTTCCCTTTCCGCACCCAAGTCGATCTTGTACTTTGTTGTTGTATTCTACATAATTTTGTTATCACAAATGGTGGAGATGAGTTGATTCTTTCTGAAGAAGAATGGGTTAATCAAAACCTTTCTCAAGTGGGACGGTCAGTGAGAGAGCAAAGAGATGAGACAAGAGAGTGGTTGCAAAAGCGTGAGCTAATAGCCGAAGAAATGTAGGCTAATAGAAGGGTGTAATGATATGTAATCTTTAAAAAAAATATTTTTTTATGTCTTTTACTATGTTATTTGTTGAATGTTATATAATCTGTATTTTTTCACAAGTAGGAAATGGATGATACCGTAGAAACATCTGAACAAAGTGGAGAATCAAGTCGGCGGAAGAGGGTGAAACAAGTTGCTCCCAAAGGGATTCCAAACGTTCGTTGGAAACCTCAATGGTCAAAGTCATTAATGTTATTTTTAATAGAACAAGTACGTGGTGGATACAAAGTTGACAAGGGATTCAAAGCTCCCGTTTATATTGCTGCAGCAAAGCATATCAATGAAGAATTTGGAATCAACATTTCAGATAATAACGCTTACAATCATTGGAGGACCCTAAAAACAAGGTGGGTTAGAATTCAAAGGCTAAAGGAGTTGAGTGGAGTTGGATGGGATGAAGAAAACAAAGTCATCCAAATGGGTGAAGAGGAATATTCTACATATATCGAGGTAATGTATTCACTTGACTTATCTGTTTCTACATATATCGAGGTTCTGTCTTCAAACTATGACTGTTATATTGTTTTATTGTTATATTGTATAGGCAAATCCAAAGGACGAACCGTTCATTAATAAACCTATCCAGTTCTATGAAGAAATGAGTTTGATATGCGGCAACGATCACGCAACGGGGAAGTACACCGTTGATACTCACCAGCCTATTGGATTAGAAGACATTGAGGAAGTAATGGAGGATGGCACTGAAACTAATGACATGATGGAAGATATGGATATGATTGGCCGTATTGATTCCACCTCTTCTAGGGGTACTTCAATACAATCTTCAACTCGTGGTCCTAGTGGATCAATATCTCAAGGATCTAAAGTTAAGAACAAAATCAAGAGTGGAAAAAAAATAAAAGATTTACAACTTGAGATGATGTCGAAAATGGCCACGGGGGTTTGTGGAGTTTCAGAGGTTATGTTGATGAAACACCAAGCTGAAAATGAAAGAGCAAGAAAGATAATTGAAGAGTTGGGAAAGCTTCAAAGCTTTAAGCAACAAGACCTAGACAAGGCATGTGACTTTTTAATGGAGCATTCTTCCATCGCTGCAGGTTTTCTTATGAGATCTCATGAGCAAAAGGTAATCTGGATCAATAACTTTTTAGAGAGAATGGAGTAAGTACGCTCTAATCCTTCATGCTTGAAAATGGGGTAAGTATTGAGAACTTCAAAAAACTTTGGATGATTGTAATAATTTAGATATTTAGACTATGCTTTTTTATTTTGGATGACTGTAATAACTTAATTACTACCTTCTATTAGTTATGACTTTCTTATGAAGTTCAAAAATATTGTATGCTTTTTTACTTATTTACAACTGGAACGGAGATGGTGGCATGTTTAAGCCTTCCTCGAAGAGCACTTGAGGTAATTAATTGTGTTGCATCAATTATATTATTTTTTTATTTATCTTGACAATTGTTTTTTTTTCAGGTAGAAAAGGCTATATTTGTAGTTTTCTGAGCAGCACGAGCATAGAAGCTCTCTTGCTTTGGGGATTTTCAAGCAGCTGGTTAGATCTGTGTATGGGATTATTTTACTGAGAGCATTGCTTCCTTCATTGGTGTATTTCCATATATCTTGATGGTCTGTAATTACTATTGGTTTTTGGTTTTGTTGACATATGGAGGTGCTGTTCATTTGAGATCAATTTGTGTTCCCTTGAGTTTCAATATAACAATGTATGGAGGTGCTGTTTTTATTTTGGATCAATTTATGTTCCCTTGTATTTCCATATATCTCCTGTTAAAAGTTAAGAATAAAATATTTGTTTACTTATCTCAATTTATGTTCCCTTGTATTTCCATATATCTCCTTGACATTAGTTGATGGTCTGTAATTACAGCTTGAGAAAAATATTATTGCAAGTGAAAACAGACTGCATTTGCAAGTTGCAAATAGAACCAAACAGCTGTAACTATGGTTGCAAGTGCAAGTTGCAAGATTTTAAAGATGTACCAAACAGCTGCAACTCCAGTTGCAAGCAAAAGTAGTTGCAACTACCTCAGTTGCATGCAACTGGGAGTTGCAATGCAATTGCACTTGCAAGCAACCAAACACACCCTTAGATACATAGGAGTTCAGTTTACATCTATGTTATCTCACAGTAACATAAAGTCTACGTTTGACTTGTCAAAATTGTGTACAGAAAGTCAAGGTTGTTGTGTGCATCACATATTGTTGTAATAGTCGTAGTGGCTAAATCATGCAAGTAAATGTGGTGGTTTAATATTTAGTTGGATGGTGTGATGTCAGTATGAGTTCTCTCACACAATCAGCACAGTTAATAGGTATCATAGTAAGATGGCAGATTTGAGAGTTTGTAGCATACTGTTTGTGATGTAAGAGTAATTGATTAGCGTGTCACTCTGTTAAAGAGCACGAACCCACTTCCCTTTCTACCTGCATTCCTTGTGAAGTTTACAAACTAACACTTCTCTATTCAATTGGTGTGGATCTCCTCCTACATTTACCTACTTTGACTATTCCTTCGTTAACTATAGACCAACTATTGGTTTTAAGATCATAAATCTCGATTGATTTCAAAGTTTTCTGCATACCTTCTCACTCTCCACCAGCAACATAGAGGAAATTATTTATGACACCAGAACCAAACAAATGACGTTTCCCTTGCATATCAGGAGCTTGATGTTATATATTAGTTCGAGTATTATAGAATACAACTCTCCTCAATGAACCTATATGTACTATGTTTGACATGCATGGTTGTGTGGAAATTTGTTGCTTGATCACCTAGTTGTCATTCAATAGGAGAGACTGTGCATGAAGACGATTTCAGTAAAAATATGATTTGTAAGCGTGCTTTCATAGCATGGCTATGCCCTCGATATCGATGTTTTCGTCGAAAGTCGTTTTCATTGTCGATTCCATTAAAACTTAAATCGTTTACAGAGAATTACAATGAAAAATAAGCGAATTACAACTCTCTTGAAAAATAACACAGAAATCGTTTATCGACTCCTGTTTTGTGGGACTTTGCCTGTGTCGGAAGTGCTTTGACTCGTGGACCACCAAATCATAGATTGTGAAAGGGTTTAGAGATTCTTCCTTCGTTTATCGAAGTAAGAATTTAAAGTGAATATTTTATCGATGTAAGATGTTCACTCTTTCAAAGATCAAGTCTTAGCTTAGATCTCTAGGAATCACCAAACGTTATTTATGAAAGGTGAAAACTCTCTCTCTCTCTTCCTTAAAATTATCAAAAGCCCCAAGTCTCTATGCTCCAATCTGCTCTCTGTACTTTATTTCGTGTCTAGGGAGGTATTTATAGGGATATTAGTGCACAACAGCGAAAATGAGGGCGAAATAACTGACCAATTGGATGCTCTTTGGGCGCGTCAGTCTACACTGTCGCGGCTATTGGCGCGTCAGTGTGTACTGGCGCGGCCAAAGAGGCCGTTACAGCCACGTTCTCATCGTGCTTAAAACTGTCCTCTCACGTCTTTTAACCACTTTTCGTGGTTTAACTGCTTGTCCATGTCAGCACACGTTCTCCTTCTGATATGCTGCGACGTGAACCTAAAAAAAATCATCATATAACTGTTTTGTAACCGCCACGGCAGCTCCCTGTAGTTTGCGCGTCAC